CACAGCAGCGTGCAGAGCCCCACAGCAGCGTGGAGAGCCCCACAGCAGCGTGGAGAGCCCCACAGCAGCGTGCAGAGCCCCACAGCAGCGTGGAGTGCCAGTCCCAGCCCAGGGGCAGCGTCGCTCCTGCAGCTGCTGGCTGCCTGGGCCGCGTGCCCACCTCCTGGAGGGGTTTTTCATTCTTCCATACCCTGCCTCCCATCAGCAACACCTAGAGCCCCTTCAATTCTCCTCCACAGTCACATCAGGGCAAAGAGCCGTTAAGACAAATCTCATCCACAAAAGTTATGCAGAAACTTCTGTTTAAACCAAGAGATGCCTTAGTGCAGTTTAAACCTACTACATCCCAAATTAAGACCAAATAAGTTATTTAAATAAAACAAATGCCCATGGAGGAGAGAACACAACTTGAGAAAACCAACCTCCACAGCCCTTAGTGAGTAACATGTTAAAAGATTTAAGATGCTACAAACTTGTCCCTGCGACCTCCGGCGCGATTCCTTCTTCCACAGCGCTACTGCCGCAGAGCCGGAGCGACGGGTCACTTCTGGCCTCGCTAGTTCCCAGGCAGGCTGCGAATCCTCCTCCCTCACCTGCTTTCTCCAACCAAAACCTTTGCTCCAGAGCGCGAGCAGCAGACCTGGCTGGGCAGGGCCCCCCACAACATCCCGCCGGGCTCCCGCAGCAGACACAGCTCAGCTTCACCCCTAAGTCTCCTTCGTGTTTCCCACTTCTCCAGTGAACCTGATTTCTTCTGTAACCTCCCTGTAGCTTTGGGGCTTTTATCTTGATCCATGATTACAAAGGATAAAAACCTCATCAAGCACCAAGAAATTACAGCACACACAACCTCCCCGTTGCCCGCTTTTCTCCGAAACAGCTCTCCTGTGCTCAGAGACCCGCTCACGACTCAGGGCTGCCTCCTACCTGGCCCCTCTGCAGCTCTCTGAGCTGGGAGCTGCTCTCGACACGGCTCCCGTAGCAAGGCTGTGTTGGGAAGCATCAGGCACCAGTCACCGTTTCACAGACACCGCTTCCTTTGCTTGCCTTCTCCAGTCAGGCTTTGACACGTTGCACCACTGCAGCTTGAAAGGAAATTCCAGGCTTGTTACCTTGCTGCCGTCTAACGCCAGTTACACTCCGAGGAGCGGCCAGGTTTGGAGGGAAGGAAGCCGTGATGGGAGAAGGCAGGCAAGGAAGACACAGCCGAAGGGTAGCTGCATTTTATCAAACACATGTTCTGCAGAATAAGCGAGCTGAAGGCAAGAGAAGATGGTGATCAACCCTCCTGTTTTGAGATGCTTGATAATATTTAATTTTCACGTGAGAGCTGGAAACTTTATCAGAGGTTTCTCTAAATGGATTTTATCTGTGACGCTTGGTGGTAGAGCAGGGGAAGGGCGGCGGCTGCAGGGAGGAGCTGTGCGAGCCGGGCGCTCGTCCCGCGCCACCGAAGCCAACAGGCAGCAGCGGCTCCGCGGCGGCGGCGCAATGGCACACGGGGCCGCGCGGCCGGTGTCCGTGCAGAGCCACAGCACCTCCAGCCTGTGGCACTCGAGTGGAGGCTCCTGCAGGAGGAAACAGCAAAAAGCTGCTGCCGCTTCCTCACCTGCCGCGCCTGGTGAGCGGCTTTCCCCGTATCCATTTTCCAGCCACCTGCAGGTCAGAAGGGACGGTCCTTTCCGAGTCACAGATGTGGCCCTCCCCCTCCGGAGTCACCGCCACTTTCTCTCCATGAACACTCGCTCTCGGCAGAGCATCAGCATCACTTTCTATCGCCCAAGCCTAACAATGCGTGAGGTGATGAACGACAACTGCTTTCTGTCCAACCTTACATCTGTGTTTCATGTGAAATCCTCGAGTCTTGGAAAGACTTTGGAAGACGGGGACCAAAGAACCCCCCTTCCCCAATCCTCCGTTGCAATGGCCAAGCAGCCTGTTGCGACCTGCTTGGTGCCTTCAGGCCCCCGTGCCCAGTCCCGCTGCAGCAGCTCTGGTCCCTGCGCTGCCGTCCCGCTGCGCTGCTCCGCGTGCGGCGCTCCGAGCTCGTCGCCACGAGCAGGGCCCTGCGCCGGGCACGGCGCCGTGCTCCGGATCACCAGATCACTGCAACACAGGCAGCTTGCTTTGTGCTCTGTTCCCAATTCACAAGAATTGATTTTTCTTGTTGAAAGCTCTGAGGCCACCGCTGACATTTTTATTCGTCTCTCATAACTTTAAGGTCTTATTGCTCCGGGTTATCATGCAATTTATACACCGCTGAAGGACTGGTTTACTCAGTGCCCATAATTACATTCACCTGAAGGCAGATAAAGCTGATGATTCCACCAACACTTTTCCAGGCCAATGAAGAACAGGTTAAAGCAGCACAGGTCACAGCACGGATCTCTCAGGTACCCCACTAGTGACTTTAAACTACTGCGAAAACGATTAGCATTTCTTTTTATTTATTTTTAATCAGTATTT